TAAAATCTCGATTCGTTCTGTTTCTGTTAGTTTCGTTTTTGTAAATGATGTTATTAATGTCGCCAAAAAACTCAAAGAGTAAACATTTGACGTCTATTATTTGACATATCATTGACTAATAAAGATGAGTCAATGATAATATTGATTTGGATAATTTTTGAAAAATAACTTACTTACTACAATATTCAATTTCAGATTATAATGTAGCATTGTTTGTTATCCGCCAGTATTGCTTACCGACATAAATAAAATCTTCACGACCATCATACTTAAAAGATTAACAAACAAGGTTGAATTTCGAGCTAATCAAGTAGGCTTTAGACCAGAATCCTCCTGCATAGACCACATTAATACTGTGAGGCTAATAATGGAACAATCGGTTGAATGGAACGCACCCCTATACATGGTTTTTGTTGATTTCGAGCGTGCTTTTGACAGCTTATCTCATGATGCAATATGGAAAATTTTAGAGCTAAGAAACTTCCCGCATAAAATAATTTCCATTATAAAGTTACTGTACACTGAAGCGAAATGCAGCGTGACACACAATGGGATCAACAGTGACGAATTTGACGTACTTACTGGAGTCAGACAGGGATGCGTACTTTCTCCGTTTCTTTTTAACATAGCTCTAGACTATGTTCTCTCCAAACTAGACTCTGACACAAGAGGGATACAATGGACGTTAACCACACGCCTAAGCGATCTAGAATACGCCGACGATATCTGCCTGTTAGGACAAAGGTTCCAAGATGTGGCTGACCAATTGGAAACACTTTCCACTGAAGCCAATAAAATAGGTTTGAAAATCAATATTGGTAAAACCAAATCCATGAGAATAAATGCAAGAAACAACACGCTATTCACCATTAATAACATGCAGATTGAAAATGTGGAAAACTTTACGTATCTTGGAAGTGTCATAACAGAAAGCGGAGGTACAGAAGACGATATTCGTATGAGGATACGAAAAGCGCAACAAGCTTTCAGCATGCTCAACCCTGTTTGGAGGTCTGGAGAATACACTACGAGGACAAAGATCCGCATATTCCAGTCAAATGTTATGTCTGTACTACTTTACGGATGTGAAACCTGGAAAGCGACAAAAACCCTTACAGACAAACTGCAGGTCTTTGTTAATAAATGTCTACGAAGAATTGTTCGTATTTTCTGGCCTAACATCATCAGAAACGAAGACTTACTACACCTGACCAAACAAAAGAGGGTAGTAAATGAAATAAAGTCCAGAAAGTGGGGTTGGATCGGTCACACACTCCGAAAAAATAACTCCAGTATTGCAAAGACTGCCCTAGAGTGAAATCCCCAAGGAAAACGAAAAAAAGGTCGCCCAGTACAAACTTGGAGAAGATCCATCATGGACGAGATAAGAAAACAAGGAAAGTCTTGGAATGAGGTGAAGGCCTTAGCGCAAAATAGAACCCGATGGCGCGTTTTCACTGAAGCTCTATGCTCCACTTAGGAGTTCAAGAACCTTATATATATATATATATATATATATATATATATATATATATATATATATATATATATATTGTTTGTTATCAATGTTTTTTTTTTCTGAACCACCAAAAAACACTAGTTTGTTTTATTTCCAGTGGCGTTTCTTAGTGTATTTTAGTTCAGTGAATGAATATTTATTGTAATTCCATGTTACTTCAAAGTTCATAATTTTGATAAACCCTGTAGAAATAAATATTCAAGTGATTACATCATTGCAAAGAAGATAAGAAGACCTTTCAAATGAGTTGTTGCGTGATCTCGGTTTATATTAAAAAAAAAACGATTACGTTATTACGTCGGCACAGATGACGTAATGTCCAATACATATAGCAGTTGATGGCCATTTAAAAATTAAAATGGACGTATTTTAAGATTTTTTTTTCGTCTGTTTCTGAAATTATGAACTGATTCCATAGATTTGCATGATACTGTATGTATGTTTGTATATTATATAGACGGAACTAATAGAAATTGTATGTAAGAAATCTAGTTCGTGACATTTATAAACATTATATAAATAAACTTTAGATTATGAAACATGTATAACCTAGTAATTCAAATATAATATTTAGTTGGCGCAATCAGTAGGATTTTCCGTAAAAATCATATTTAAAATTCTACCAAGTTAAACTCAAAGACGCCGAAACCCATTTCAAGATCCTTAATATTAAAACCTTTACTGCGCTCGTATTTATGAAACATTTAGTAGCCGGCAGGTTCTCACTCTCTAATGGAACTTTGCATTTTGTTGTTTCTTAGCGGTAAATTTAAAGTTACATTTAAGAAAGTTTACGTTTAGGTGGTTAACGATGTGATATTTCGTGGAATTTTGCTGGAAAAGCTATATTTCTAGATTGTGATGATAACAGAGCTCTTTAAAAAGGATATTACTTATTTTCCAACTCCATTTCTAAAACATCTGTAAATATTGTAGAGAATTTTTTGATAATATTTCAGTAAATTTGATGAAGTTGATTTTATGTATTTCAGATTTCCGTATTGAGAGATATATTTCCGACTTATTTTATCGGGTCAAATATAGATTGCATTGCGGAATATTGATTTACCAAGGGATGTGAGGATCGGCGATATTTGGGTAAAATAATTCGGGAAATTCAAAGGATAGTCGATGTTTTAGATTTTTTGTAGTGATCTCCAGCTTCCTTAATATTATGAATTTTATCGGGAAATTTCAAAATAGACTTAGTAGTACAGTAATAATGCACCCATTATCCAATTTATACCTGACTAACGATTCGTATACTTCTGGTATCTTGATCCAAACCAATTTCCTGTTTAATAATGTTCTGACATATTCAGTCTCTCATAAAGAGTAAAGTGTAATTGCTTTATATTGTCATTTCTATGCCAGATTGTTGACCTATATTGAAGACATTACAAAAATTTATCTTCCTAAAATTTCCAATTTTTTTTTTATTTCATTTTCCAAGTACAGATTTGCAATCCTGTTTGTACAATAATCAAATTTTATAATTCAAACAGAGAACTTAATATGAGCCAAGAATACCTGCCAGTGCTGGTACCTTCCTTATTAAATTTAACTTAAATTAATATTAAAAATAATTCTTATATTCTAAACAATTTACCTATAAAAATCTATTTGGTAAGTTCAAGGGTTTGTGTCTCTTAAGTCTTCTCACTTTCTTGCTAGTAGCCAGTACGTTTACGACACTAGAATTTATTTAAATTTCTAACCACTTTAAATGCCTATCACTACACTTTTTTATTTTTTATTTTTTTTATGACTTCATTAAGGACGTAGTATGGTGCTTCATCTGCCTTAGGACCTTCGGTTGGAACCTCTGCAGGAGTTCAATATTGGATTCGCTTGCACACCCTCACAGTTGAATGCCATAGATCCAGATGGATTTTAGAATTACTTTATACTAATCTATCTATCTAATTTGTCCTAATCCCTTTTGGGATGTGGTGACACCATCAGATCTTTACAGCTCTTTCACCATTTCCCTCCATCCTTCCCTGTCCTAGTCTAGTTGTTCGGCTTCATATAACCCTTGGTCAATCAATATTTTTGTTTGATCTACCCAACGGCTTGAAGATATTTTCCTAGATCTCTTTTCTATCGTACCTGTTCTTCTAGAAGTGTGTCCAAAATACTGCAAATATCTGTGTTGTATTTGTTTAAGCAATCCTTTAGTTTAAGTTATTCTAATATCGATACTTTAGTGCGATGATTAATCCAGGATATTCTTAACATGCGGCGCTATACCCACATTTCAAAAGCGTCTAGTTTATTTTTATCCACTTTTTTATGGTCCACGTTTCGGACCTCAGGTATATGAACCTATTTATTATTTCAAAGCCCCCCATTTCTTTAATGTGTAGAATATTATTCCGAGCTCTGTCTACTATCATGATCTTTGTCTTACTCCTATTAAGCTTTAGTACATATGTTTAGCTTTTCTCCTCCAGACATCTCATTATGTCTATCATTTCTTCTTGATTTGACGCGATTATTAAAGTGACATCAGGATATCTCAAGTTACTGATTTTTTGACCCTTCCGCATAATGTGTTCGCTGTAGATATTCGCTGTCTAGTACCTTTTGCATAATTGTTCGCTGTAGATAATAAATAGAGTTGGCGAGATTATACATCATTGATTGACACCTGCCTCTGTTCTAAAATGATCGGAATTTTCGTTGTTTATTTTTACTGTGCACTTATTATTTTCATATAGACTTCTAATTAGTTGAATTAATTGGTAGGGTATTCCCATTTCCGCTAGTATGGACCATAGTTGATGCCATATGACCTTATCAAAGGCCTTTGTGTAATCCACAAAGCACATAAGCATAGGCATATTGAATTTAAGAGGTTTTTCGATTAGCTGTCTGACATTAGGGAGGTGTTCTTCTTTTACTAGGATAAAAAGTCTATTTATGTATTTGGACAAGTCAATACACTCTGTACCAAGATCAAGATTATGGAGTCGCAAGGAAAACTCAATAATAAACTGATCAAGGTCAATAAAAGCCTTTTCCAAATAATCAATGTTCAAAGAGAACTGAATCAAATATTTAGAAAAAGCGAAACGAATCTGATCTGATTGTAAGTTAGACTATATATATATATATATATATATATATATATATATATATATATATATATATATATATATATATATATATATATATATATATATGTATGTATAGACTTTTATAGAAAAAAAATTTAGAATATATAGAAACCTACAGTTAGTAGCACTCTCCGAATTTTGACTTCATCATCTCCTTCGCGTCATCTAGGAGTAGCTAAGAACATCGAGTAACTGCAACGAAGTCTAAAAACATCGAACGAAGAACTGATAAAGAGTGGAGTTTTAGTTAAAAAACAAAAAAATACTTGAGTAGGTTTTAACTCTTTTCCAAAATTAGTTTGACATACATCTTTGCTTATTTTATTACAAAATAGAAATGTAGCTATTCTATACCTTACCTCTAAAAACATAATTTACAGTAGATGCATGCTGCTGAAGTTCTAAGTCTTGGGAGTATCCAAAAGCAACCAGCGAAAAGCCAACTACTAGGGGAAGGTAAACCATTTTGTTGTTAGCAAAGCACCATGAAAAATCTGTAAAAAAGAAACGAGAAAGACTATTAAAAAAAATAACAACACATAGAAAAATAAAAAAAAACAGCAATTTTAACTCATCTTACTTAAGTAAGGTGTTATGAGATATATGATATGGGATATATTTAGGAGGTAAAATGACCTCCCAAAACATCCATGCATACTTGAAAGCGGTAATTGAAAGAGTTGCTTACATTACTAGGTACTTGTAAAGAAATATTGCAATTCGGATTCTATTTTTCATATTATCCCATGTTGTTGTAGGTATTTTATATACTTCGTTCCTAACGTAACCCCAAAAATATGAGTCCATTTTATTGAATTTTGGTGACATTGGAGGCAATCTTACCGGTCCATCCCTTCCGATCAATCTTTCACCAAACTGATCAATAAGTTCACCACGTACTAATTCGTTGTGGTGCGCAGGAGCACCGTCATGTAGAAACCACATTTGTTCACGTATATTAAGTGATCCTTCTTCTAATAATATCGGTAACTGATTTACGATAAAATCTAAATAAATCTCACCATTTGAGTTATCTTAAAAAAAATATGGTCCTACTACATAGTTACCGATGGTACCTCCCCACATATTTAGAGACCATCTTGTTTGACTATATGTTACTATACGGTATGGATTACTTGTTGAATAGTAGTAAAAGTTATGCCTATTAATACAACCGTTTTGATGGCATGTAGCTTCATCACCAAACAGGACATAACCAAAAAATCTCTCTGCTCATAAATATTTTCTAAAGCTCATTTACAAAATACTGTTCGTTTCTAAAAATCATCATTATTTAATTCTTGGTGATTTTGAATATGATAAGGGTGCATCTTGTTTTTAGATAGAATGTTTTGAACAGAGTAGTAACTAAGTTCTTGTTCATTGGAAATACTCCATATACTTGTGTGTGGGTTTTTTGTAACTGCCATCAACACACTCATTTCGTTTTCCTAATTTATAATTAAATTTTTCATAATTCACTGAACCAGTGCGGTTAAATTGATCTTTTAAATTTTCAAATGTATCTTGTCTGAGTTTTTGATAAATTCTAGCTGATAGTAATGAATTTTTATTGCATTCTCCCAATATCCAGATCATATCTAATATTGCATCAGTAGTAAAATTCATTATTGCTAATTCAAATTGAATTAATGACTGAATTACTAAATATTAATTGTTGCTAATTTATGGTGCACCCCAATATTGACTTAATAAACAATAACGTCAAACTGTCAGTTTCTGACAAATCAATCATGGCCTACTCACAATAATTATTGGTAAACTTTAAAATGAACCAAATTAACCAAAACCAAATTAACCAAATGAACTTTGATAGAAAATAAAAATATAAGAAAAACTGATAACTTTAGGTATACTTAGGGAGTACTTTTTAAAATTTGAAGTACAATATTAGTACTTTTCGATAGTGATATAAAATACAGGTTGTTCTTTTTAAAGTTACCAAGAAAATACTGTACTTACTTTTTGACTTACCCTATATTTAATTTAACGAATATTATGAAAACGAATACGTTTTATAATTATTAACAATTATTAAAAACTATGGTTTGCAATAGATCAATGTTCCTATACTCCTTTTTAAATACACAGGGACTTAAACTTGGTACGATTTAGAGGTAATATTGGTTTTAACTTTTTAAATACTTTTTAAATACCCGGTATAACAAATATGGAAGAAACACCCTGTAAGTTTGTAACTTTTGCCTATAATTTTTGTCAATAACTTTTTTTGTAATTTTTACTATAACAGATCTACTGAGCTTCCTCACACTAATCATTAACCCTGTATAAAATAGTTTTCTGTTATATAACATTGCAAAACTCAAAAGTCTTCTGTAGCTATCATTAAAGTGTCCCATGTATTTTTTACACTCTTCTGCAGTGACGGAAGCAGCGGTTTATGGATTTGGATAAGATTAGATATGCTGCATAAATTTTTATTTAGGTTTTTATTTATAGTGATTCGTGTTATGAAAATGATATTCATATTTTTTCCTTGCGCCGAAAAATTTTTAGCTTCATAGAGCGATATCGGTTAAGTGGTTCGGTTCCTCCATTTTCCGTTTTTCCATCTTCGCGTTGAGAGTTCTTATCTAGCCTACAAGTCATAACAGCTATAAGCAAATATTTCGTCTCATTGTGTGACAGTGGCCTAACATGAGATGAGTCTTAGGGTTTGGTTCATACCGTTAGCCAAGTACAATAAATGATTACAATTTAATGAACTAATATATTTGCAAATCATTTTGTACATATTAAACGAATTTAAAACGGATAATACAATTTAATATATGTCTGCTTGAACTGCATTTGAAATAGTGGACCAATATAAAACTTGGACAAAAATAAATCCATACCTGGGTATAGACATTGTATAAAATATCGTTCAACTATCTGTCTCGCAACAATGTTACAAAGTTGTTTGCGTAAAGGAAGCGATAATCGTTCAGGAAATGAAGCTCGAAAAAAGTTAAAAGCTTTTTTTTCAATTTTTTCGTCCTGCATGCGTTGAGTTGAAATTTTAACTGAAGGGTTTTAGGGGTGAAAACTAGCCCTAATTGTCAAAAATTATAAAATAACATATTAAACCTGAATATGGCTAAGATATGGTTTGAATTAGTTAAATAATGATTATTTTATACTTTTGAATACAGTTCCATCATATTTCAACCCATAAAAAGCAATTCTTGTTAGAGATTAATGTAAAACAATTACTAATTCTAAAAAATGATTTCGCCTTGGAACTCTGCTTTATAGTTGATGTCATGTCGATGAACCCTGATTGTTCTTAGGGGTGAAAACTACCCCTAATTTTTAAAAATTGTAAAATAACATTACAAATCTTAAGATGAGTGAAATTTGGTTTACATTAGTTAAATAGTGATTTTTTTATACTTTAAAATACAATTTCATACATTTCCAACCCTTAAAAATCAATTGTTATTAGTGCTATAGATGAAAACAATTTTTTGCCAAAATTTTGCAACTTTTCAACTTTTGAATATCACCCTTTATAACATTGCAGTTTTTATAAACTAATTTAATCGATATAAATTGAAAAAAGTAGAATTAAATACAAAAAAATTTATCAACATAAAAAGGCACCATATATTCTTATACATTTATATAAATAGTTGAAAATATTTACATTATATTATAACAACAACAACAACAAAAGTTCATTGGGTGCAGGTTGTTTGTTCATGCGTACGGGTAATAACAAACCAACTTTGGAATACCATCTGTTGCTCTGATATTTTCATTGCCAAGCCATATGAGCAGATGTTTTATTCTGTTGTATGGGATTTCAAAATAAGAACGCTTAAAATTTCGAATGATAACGCCGCACTACCTAATTTACTGGTTTTGTAGATTATTGTGCTCCGAAATATACTGTAGTATACAAATGGAATTTTCCGGAAAAAAAAATTAATTGCTTTTTTAACGTATTTCCTTAATTTTTAACGATAAAGTGTTTCTTCAAAAACGGTTTTATACAGGTTTTTAAGAGCTACAAGGATCTGTGAATTAAATCTTTTTGGAACCCTTGGTTTTTAAATGGGTGAGTTTAAAGGGCTCGAAAAAGATGGTGCTTGATCGTAAATCGATGCTTTAAACGGCTAGATCTCGCCAAATATTCATTGTACAATAAATCTAAATAAAGGAAAATTTTAGTCTTTAAAAAGCTACAATTTAGTACATTTTTATTTTTTTCATATATTCAGTATTTCGGGAATATTTAAAAAAAGAAGGGTAAAAAATATGAAATTGTAAATCGTTTCTCGATTTATGCTGTACTTTTATTAAAACTAAGCATTTTAAATGGGTCAAACTACTTGGACGTATTAACAATACATGTACAAAGAGAATTGCAGACGTGTGAAGATCGATTTTAATTATGGAGGTGGTTAGGGGGTTGTTTTCATCGATTTTTTCGTAAAAAATGAGGTATTGACCTTATTTTTATCATAACTCACTCAATTTTCAAGTTAGAGTCTTTTTTTATAATAGGTCTATTTATGCTCTTTAAAAAAAGGTTGTGTGTTTTCTTCCAAAAATGCATCATTTTCCCGATATTTGACTTTGAATCTTTCAAATTTGGCATTTGAAAAAAACCGCTGAACATTGATAGGCCGTATTTCGGTTCCTGTTATATCGCAAAAACATTTTAAGAAATGAATTGTATTTGTCTTTTTAAAAGCTACAAATTTGTTTTTTACAACTTTTTTGATAAAATGCACCATTTTCGAGTTATTCGCGAAAAATCGATTAAAAACGTCGATTTTTTCGTATAAAAGTTGTTACTTTTAATCGCGAATAACTTGAAAAATATCAGTTTTACAAAAAAATGTATACACCATTTTTTGTTTAGAATCACTTTTTTAATCGAAACCTGTAGTTAAAACGTGAAAAAAATTTTCACCCCCGAGATGGGGTGGCAACCACCCCTAAGGCTTTGGCGCACTTTGGTTCGATATAGATTTTGATCCTTGGCTATTACCTTCCTTCTGTTAAAATTTCACGTCAATCCACGCAGGACGAAAAAATTGCGAGGTGAAATGTTTCATTTTCTGGACTATAAGTGGTTTGACAGCATAATAAAATCGTAGATTTATGTGTAGCTTTCAATTTTTATGATTTCAGAATCCAGCAGCCCGCTGAAGTATTGGATTTTTATAATATAATTATTTGACAACCTTTTGTTGGTCAACCAGCTACAGCAGAATTGAGCTGAAATACATAATATTTCGTATGTTCCGAATTTATTTCGTTCAATCTGTATGTTAACGAGTACAATATTTATTTAACCCACAAGTGGATTAATAAGGCGATTAACAATTAAGATATTTTGACTCCATTAGATGTTGCATTGCAAAGAAAGATCTGTTTCCTGCCATTATTCTCGTTTCAACTTCTCGCTCTAATTTGTTGTCATTTGTGATTGTTGTTCCTAGATTTTTAAATTCTTTAA